TAATTACACAAATCTCCTGAAAACTGCAACTCACGGTCACTTATGCTATTTGCCAGAATGTGAACCCTAGTTTTAAAGCAAGCACCCACCATATCTGACCAGCCACTGTACCAAATTGGGTGATTTTTAATGATTTGATGTCCTTGAACAAAAAGATATCGCTGCAAAAAAAAATGGAGTTAAAAGACCTAGTGGTTGGTCAGGTACTGAATTTCAGCCATTTCCCTTGAAAGAAAACCGAGCACTAGGGGTGCCCAAAAGGTCAATTTTTGACCTCCTTTTTTTCCATTCTTGAATATGCAGGATGTTAGCATATCATTTTAGGGTTACAAAGAAAATATTTTGGGGGTGAAAATGGTCCCAGGGTGGAGCTGTGGGCCATTTTAGGGTGATCTGAGGCCAGGAGAGTGATCTGGGGTCAACCGATTTTCATCAATTTTTGGTGAAAGTATTTTTTATTAATATTGTTATAGTTGGCCTGGTCAGATTTGGAAAATATCGGTGGGAAAGAACATTTTTGGGAATTTGGGCCCGTTGCCCACCTCTGTAATTTCACCCGATCTAGTGCTACAGTGAGGGGCTAAGAACAAAGGTTCTGTGGTCAAAAATGGGTTACACTGTGGCTGATTAGGTTTAGATCGCTGGGACTGCTAAATTGGATGGCATGGTGGGTACTAGAACCTTTCATGAAGGCCTGGATAGTGTGACCATGCAGTTTTGAAACAAATTTGACCTTTGGTAACCAAGAGTGGTTGAGCGCAAGAAGCTGCACAGGGAAGCAATACCCAGGACCTTTGCCCCTCTTTAGAAGATTCCGATCTTGACCCCTTTGGCACACAGGCAGAGCTGCTTCCTCGATTTGTGATGTGCACACTCAATCGTGAGGTTATTTGTATGGGATGCATTAGATAGGCCAGAGCCTCAAGCAAATGCAAACTTGTCAACTTGAAAGCAAACGCTGGCCAAGAGGGATTAACGGAATTGTCCATTCGAGTTACTGAGTCGGCTCCCTCGAGGAAAGATCCCCTGGCTGCCTCTTATGCAGAGCTCTTTCCATTCATGCAGGGGGCATCACCTCACCCGCTTCATGGGCAACCAGCCTGTTTATTTGGAGGATCATGATGGGAGGTGTGGGAAGCCTTGATCGGATGGAGCCTTGTGAGGGGGCACGATGGCTGCCTTGACATGCCTTAAGCACCGATGCTCCGTGTTTCAACATACCACTAGGAAGAGTGCACCTGCATCCAAAAAAAGGGGGATCACTGGAAATCGAACCCAGGACCCTTGCCCCTACTCTCRGGGATTTTGGTCTTTACCCTCYATTGTGTAGACAGAGTTTCTTCCTAGATTTGCRATGTACACAYTCACTTGTAAGGCTACTCATRTGGGATTTTTCAGATAGGCCAGAGCCTTGAGCAAATGCAAACTTGACAACTTGAAAGCGAWTGCAAGCCAAGAGGGATGATTGCAAATGTGTCCACACAAGTCAGAGAGTAAGTTCCCTTTATATCCCCGGGCTGCCTCTTGCACGGGGGGCATCATGTTCAATGGGCAACCAGTTTGTTCATGTCGTGGTTTACGTTCGGAGGTGTGGGAGGCCATGAACGGATGTGCCTCAGTGCACGTCCATGCCACCAAAAAAAACCTCATGAGCAAGGAAAAGGGGACCACTGGGAATCAAACCCAGGACCTTCTGCATCTCTGGTTTCCCATGGGAATGATTAAAATTGTTGTGCAGGCTTTCCCGAGGGAGGAGGGGGGCGCCTACTTCAGCATGCGTAATGCTGATAAGAATTTGCAGGCTTTGCTATTGGGTGCGTACTGAGGCACAGTGGGCAGTTGAAAACATTCAAATTTTGTGCAGGCTTTCCCAGGGGGGAGGGGGGCGCCTACTTCAGCATGCGTACTGCTGATAATAATTAGGCAGGCTCTCCTGGAAACCGGCCTTGGGGGGGAAGGGGGCTGAAGGGAAAGGGGCGCGTATTCAGCATGCGTACTGCTGATAATAATTAGGCAGGCTCTCTTGGAAGGGCTCCCCTCGTGGGGGTGGGGAGGCGCAGACTTCAGCATGCGTACTCCTGATAATAATTGGGCGGGCTCACCTGGAAGGTGCGTACTGAGGGGTGCGTACTGCCAAAGAAACCATTCAGCAGGCTGCGTACTGGTGCGTACTGGAGAAATTAAATTGCTGGAAAAAGGGGGTGCGTACTAGGCACAGGTGGGTCCCGTATGTATTTGCATCCCCCATATATCCTACCAACATCCTGCGTACCCCAAAGTAGGAAAGAAGAAGGCCCAAAAAATGACCTTGCTGGCAGTGCTCTTTGTGCTGCATTTCCGGCGGAAGGGGCACGATGGTTGAAAGGCCCGCAGCGCCACCCTAGGACAATGTACATTCCCAAAACATGTATTTGCATCCCCCATACGTCCTGTTGAAACCCTGCATATTTATAAGAGAAAAGAAGGTCAATGATCRACCTTGTTGTGAATGGCCCTTGTGCTGCATTTTYGGCGGAAGAGGCAGGATGGCTGGAATGCCATACCTCACCAACCACTGGATCTGTTCACTTCATTTCTTTTATGATGGGACCCTGTCATTGCAAGGACTCTAAATCACTGGAAGCTGTCCAAGTTGATTCAGCGCATGGTACATTTGGCGGACAAAAAGTTGGTAGTGCTCCTTGTGCTGCATTTCCGGCGGAAGGGGTACGATGGCAGAAATGCCATATCTCGCCAACCACTGGGTCTTTCCACTTCAAATCTTTTATGGTGGGACCCTGTTGTTGCAAAGACTCCAAATCACTGAAATGCATTCCATTTGGTGCAGTGCATGGTCCATTTGGTGGCCAAAAAGTTGTTTTTGCGCTGCAACTGCATGTGCACCAATCACTGCGGTGTAGAATGGAGGGGGACCACTGGGAATCGAAGGGCCCAGGACCTTCTGCATCTTTGGATAGGATCCCTTGGGGAGCAGAAATGATACCACTGGGTATTTTTAGGGTTTAATGAGGCAAGTAGGGCACTCCATGCCAACTCACCTCTGGCTCCTACTTGCCCCCCCCCCCTTCCCCCATGCTTGTCTGTCCATCAAGCAAAGGCAATTCCTTTTGCCCAAATGCAGTGTATCATTGTATCATGTATTGTTGACAACAATTATTCATTGGCAACAATGATTACTCCATCTGGTGCTGTGAATGGTCTGCCATGAGGAGGTTCGTGTCTGAGGTGAAATAAAGTGGGTCGGATGCGGCTTCTGTCAAAGCAAACCCCCTGTAGCCCTTGGAGTGCTCCCCCTCAGACAAAAACTTTGAATTGTACAGCAGATGATGAGGCCACATAGGCTGTGGTGCCAAGCTTGGGAGCAGGCTGTGGGTGTGTGCTGATGCGAGGAGCAAGTGAAGTGCTCACATGTTGGTCCTCCATCTGGCCCCTCTTGAAGACGACGTTTGTGGTGGACACACATGGTAGGGAGACCAARTAGGCCTAGTTTCTCCAGGACTAMATGAAAGTGTAGGCACACTGCTGTCAAGGAAGMGCAGGAGATGCAGTTGTGGTGTCCATTTTGGTRCRAAACSTCCATGAAAAGTGGTCAAAATTGGCCGTTTATGTACCGATTGAATTCCACACTTGTCAACAACATCCGAAGGCGGCTACAAGCCAGTCAGAGGCTAGGGATCATGGTTCAGTGGTATAATTTCTGATAGWTTGGGKGGCTTCATTGGGCTCAAACCTGCATTTGSTCACAAAGGGGGTTGCTGTGTGCACAAGAAGCGCGACACATCTTCTTGCGAGGGAGCGTTGACCAGGTGCACACTCATTTTGTGCATGCGCAAAAGGGGCATAGCATCAACTGGCTTTGCTATCATGATGCATTATCACTCAACTTTACAAAAAGGGAGAATCGAAAAACAGGACACTTTATGCTTTAGCATTATTGCTGTCTGTATAAGTCAAGCAGGGCAAGCAGGCAGAGCAAGTTGCCATGCACACTCAGACAGTCAGACCRAAGCATGAGCTCATGTCCTACTCTGCACTCACGGGAGGTCACACTGCATAAACAAGAAGGAGGTCGTGCTTAGTCACCCCACAAACTCWGTACAATCCACTGCATTTCCCACGCGTCTTCAGAAACTTTATTTCCAGTTCAATATGCAATGCGCGGCAAGCGACACAGGAAGCTTTGACCCAATGCCATCAACTCTGTGCGTGCTTGCTTGTGACCCCCTCACACACTGACTCCCAGCCCAACAACTTGACMCCTGTGCGCTTCCTTGAGCCAAACCACTTCTGCCCACTGAAGCTGCAACTGTGGACTCTGAAGGACTGTGCAGACCAGTGCACAACCTGTTGACACTGTCTCACGGCAGGTCTCTCCGCAAGCATTCAGCCCTTCTTTCCCTTCTTCCTAGGAGAGGCCGCTGCGTTGCTAGCCYTTTTCCCCTTTCTTCTGCTCCTTGGTGCTCCGGCACTACTGCTGCCTGCTTCTGGCTGCAGGTCAGCTTCTGGCTGCTGGTCTGCTTCTGGCTGCTGAGCTGCTTCCGCCTGCTGGGCTGCTTCCGCCTGCTRGGCTGCTTCTGCCCGCTGGGCTGCTTCTGCCTCCTTTCTTGCCGTACATCCCCTGATGTTGTGCCCAGTCTTCTCACACCATTTACAATGCTGCTCCTGCTTCCCCAACCGGGGAGCTAGCCCAGCTGCTGCTGCTGATTGCAATCGTTGAGTGAGCGCTATCACAGCTGCCTCCTTCTCCTCGTCCGTCATTGGCCACTGGTCTTCAAACTGCGGCCAAAAGCAAAAGCATCAGAGCAAGGCGCGTCGAGGTGAGGCACATGCTGCATGATGAGTCTCCAGCTTGCCGCGCCTTGCTTGTGCCTGGGACGGAGGCTGGGTCAGATCATCCTTTCGGCTGAGGCAACAGACACACAAGCATGGACAGACAGACCACTCTGCAGTAGCAGCTTGCCGGAGGCGACGTCTGCACAAAAAGGAGGAGCACGAAAAAGGGGGACCACTGGGAATCGAACCCAGGACCTCTCCGAGTCTTTCAGCCCAAACGGAGAATTATGCCACTAAACCATGATCCCTCGGTGACGCTCACAACTACTATGATTTTATTGTTTATATAATATTAATTAATTAAACATGATATTCTCCAATGCGGTTTAAAGGGGAGCTGTGTGTGTGTGTGTGTGTGTGTGTGTGTGTGTGTGTGTGTGTGTGTGTGTGTGTGTGTGTGTGTGTGTGTGTGTGTGTGTGTGTGTGTGTGTGTGTGTNCCCAGTCTTCTCACACCATTTACAATGCTGCTCCTGCTTCCCCAACCGGGGAGCTAGCCCAGCTGCTGCTGCTGATTGCAATCGTTGAGTGAGCGTTATCACAGCTGCCTCCTTCTCCTCGTCCGTCATTGGCCACTGGTCTTCAAACTGCGGCCAAAAGCAAAAGCATCAGAGCAAGGCGCGTTGAGGTGAGGCACATGCTGCATGATGAGTCTCCAGCTTGCCGCGCCTTGCTTGTGCCTGGGACGGAGGCTGGGTCAGATCATCCATCCGGCTGTGGCAAACAGACACACAAGCATGGAAAGACAGACCACTCTGCAATAGCAGCTTGCCGGGGGCGACGTCTGCACAAAATAGAACAGCAAAGAAAGGGGGACCACTGGGAATCGAACCCAGGACCTCTCCGAGACTTTGAATCCCAAACGGAGAATTATGCCACTAAACCATGATCCCTTATCGCTGCTCACATATATTGTTAAGGTAATATATAAAAATAAATTAATTAAACATGATATTCTCCTATGCGGTCTAAAGGGGAGCTGTTGGATGTGTGCACTTAGTGCGTGTGTGTGTGTGTGTGTGTGTGTGTGTGTGTGTGTGTGTGTGTGTGTGTGTGTGTGTGTGTGTGTGTGTGTGTGTTTGCTTCTTGCATGCATGTGCTTGTTTGTTCTTCTGTCCCACATTCCAGCCAAGCATGCCATACAATAATTCCATTCATACTCAAATAAAAAAGTATAATACACGCAAGTATAACGCATGCAAGTAGACCACCGCTCCCAATGAAAGATAATCTTTAATAGGTAATGTTTAAAAGTCAAGATTATTGAATCGAACAAAAAAATTTGAAGTGTGAGGGGACCCCAGAAGGGTACCTTTGATCTTGATCGAGAGTTGGCATCGCCCAGCCAGGTCAACAATGAACTGAACACTGAAAATGGACCATCCGGGTGAAAACCCTCCGGAGCTCGCGCCCCAAGCTAACAACAGTCTTGAGAAGCTTCTCAAGGTAGGTGCTCGAGATGCATGGAGGCCATGTACATATCGTAAAGGCCCTGTGCCCCTCTTCAAGGTGGCTTGCATGGGGTATCCCTTTGCCTCCTTGTACTKCACACTCCTCCTCGGACTTCACAGGGATTCAGGTGAATYAGAACCRTTCGAAGTTTCTGCATTCTCTWCTCATCCAATGTCAACACAGCGCAGAGGGCCTTGCCCACCCACCCAATGCTGCATGTGCCCACCCACCAACCCAATGCCCACCCACCAACCCAATGCTGCATGTGCATGCAYTGGTGATCACATYCTCATGAACGAGGCATGACCATGACCRATGAGATATTGATTGCACAAATTGCTGCAATCAATGAAACTCATTCATCAACCCTTGCTTGCCAGCAATATTTTCAGCTACCTTGCACAGTTGTCTCACCCTCTRATCCATGCGCATAATGGTGGCTTTGCACAGAAGTGGCCAAGGGAGGCATGGCCCGACGTGACATGGAAGATACTGGAGGCCACACCCCCCTCGTAGGAAGAGAGGAAAGCGGAGCAAGCAGCCAACGATGCCAAGGTCAAGAAAGCATCCCAGCGCCGGGAGGAACAACGGGAGCGAGCTGCACAGCGAGTGAAGGCCCAAGCAGACTTGAAGAGGAAGCAGGAGGCAGAGCAGGAGGCAGCTGACAAGCGTTGGGCAGAGGAGGCTCCAGAGCGCGAGAAGCGTGCGGACCAGTACCTACTCATTGCCCTGCTCGGTAAGTCCTGGTGGCATAATCCTAGAAGCCCATCAGAGGAGGAGGCATGGGCAATGTCGGGGATGCGTGATGATAAGGAATGGCTGATCTTGCCATGCGCAAGGGTCCTTTTGCACCACAACGCAAGGGTCACAAGCAAGAAACCCAAGTGGCAACCAAATGCAYGCTGGGGACATTCAAGGTGCACATCCTGAAAAATTGATGAATACCCAATTGCATTTAGAACAGCAAACATTTGCTCAAGTGCTGCGTGTGTCTGCATCCTGCCTTCATTCGGCTGTACGTCTTGTTGTCATCTTCACTCTACAGGTGGGCGCCCTCCGTACCTGAAGAAGGTAGACATGTCAGTGAAGGAGCGCCACTCCTTCATCATGTGGGCGTTCCTGGAGACAGTACGTGGTGACCTGTACAACGAGCTGTGGCAGCTTGGATTTGTAAGGCGCGAGGTGGAGGCTGCCCTCAGCGCTGTGCTCAAGGTACCCTTTCATCATGCTTTGTGAGGATTTCCTTTTAATTTCAACAAAATTGAAAGCAAGGGCGCATGTTTATCTCATAGAAGCCTGGATTGTTTAGAGAAGCACAGTGCGAAATGGTTGTTTTGGTCCGTCTTCTTGTTTTTGATAAGACAAGGCAAGATATAATATGACGAGGCAATTATGATCAAGACATAATAGACATGGAAAGTGTCATAGATGAAGCTGCCCATGAATGTAACCCAGAATTGAACAAAGAAGGACCAAGCATTCTTTAAATTCCAGCTCAAGCACAATGGATGATAATGATTAAAAAAAAAGAGCCATACATTGCCAACTTCTCACTCAGCATTTTTAGCAGTAGACAGCCCTTTCACGCTCGCTTGACGCATCAGATCAGACATAGATGTTGGGGAACAAACTTTGTTTGCTCTGTATCGCAGATTGGTTGGTGACTCCACTGATAGAATCCATAGCGTTTCCAACTTACTATGAGCCAACACATATTGACAGGCCTCTGACACATGGCTGCGCGGCTGGGCGAAGAACCCAGATGCAGATGTAGAGGTGGTGCGCAAGCTCCTTTTTGGGGACCTGCAGACGGCTTTGCTGGATATCATCTCGAGAGAAGCGGACCACCTCAAATACATGGCTGCAAGAAATGCCAGGTAGGGAATTCCTTGCAATTCAATGAATCAACCTTTCCAGCGATCTTATGTCTCAATATGTCTATGTCAGGCCCTCGTTTTCCCATTAAACAGTTGAAACCCATCGTGCATACCTCATGCTCAAGGTCTTTAAACCGTGAAGAAAGGTTTTGCGGCAGGACTTCCTGTCATGCTCAGATCATGCAATGTAAGATGTAATGACGTGGCAACACGAATCACTCATTATTTTCACTTGTATATCCTGCCACACTCAGGCATTCTCTTTCTTAAGCTCTCATTGCCACATTTATCTGGCTGCCACTGCTGCTCTCCATCCGTGCTGTCTCCCCAGGGCTTGCTTGGCCTTAGGCCATCACTCCTTTACATATTATGATATGAGATGTTCAACTACATCATTACAGATGCTACACACCTAAACTGTGGAAATACGTGGAATACGTGGAAATTCTCAATACTGGGGACCAGAGGAATTAATCACACAGAAAACCTCAGTCAACAACCTAACTAACTGGTGACCAACAGTAAAATTGACACAACACCAAATGCGCATGTCATTTCAGGGACAACTAGTTGGGAGCTTGTAGAGGAAAAGAAGCGGGAATGATGGAAAGCATCTAACTTACTGCAAACATGCACACATACCCTGCCTCTAGTTTCCTCTGGTTTCCACAGGTTCTGCTCTGCCTGTACATGCCTGTAAATCCTTGGCGAACAAGAGAACCTGTTTTGCAGTTGGCTTTCATCGGTCTGCCCATTCGGTCATCTTTTAATCGTCCACCCTTGCTTAAATTTGAACTTGAACGCCAGGGCTCCACCCTCTCCAGCCTTCCACCCATCTCCACCCACTTCACCACCTCCTTCCCTGTCACCGCCTCCGTCCCCTCCCTCTACACCCTCCCCTTCACCATCACCACCGCCACCATCACTGCCATCACCGCCTTCCCCACCTCCTTCTGCCCCTCTACCTCCGCCTCCGTCATCTTGTCCCGTGTCAGGACTCCCCTGTGCGTCAGAGCCTGGAGAAGGTAAATACATGAGTGTGCAAACATCTAAGCAATTGTGTATTGATCAAGGTATGCACGCTGAAAGGGTGAGTCCTGTAGAAAGTTGAAGTGCAAATTCATCTTGCAAGTAGAAAGTTGAAATGCAAATTCATCTTGCATTGAAAATTTTTGCCTCCCTCTATCTTGTGGACATATTCATCATGGCTGCCTAAAAAGTAAATGTTTTTCACTCACCTGCAGGTCACCTGCCTCCAGATCTTAGGACTGAGGGATACGACATTGATTTCCACAATTTGGTGGGTCCCTACATATCTCTGACTGCACCTAGTTTCAGTGTGTGCAGATGCATGGACTTGTTCAGGCCGCCAAGCAACTTCGGTGTCAAAGCACATGTAAAATGGGAAAGGCCTTGACTTTGCATGTTACACCAAGTATGCAAGCTTTCCCGCAAATGTATGCTTGAAACTCAGAGATGAATCATGTGAGGTCCAAATGCACCTGCTTATTGATGTCCGTCATCTTCTCTGAGGAGTTTAGCATATATCAGGCGTGCCTCAACGCGAATGTATGGATTACATCAGGCGTGCCTCAGCGTGAATGTATGGATTACATCAAGCGTGCCTCAGCGTGAATGTATGGATTACATCAGGCGTGCCTCAGCGTGAATGTATGGATTGGTTCAAACGTTGACATGATTTCATTCCCATGGACTGCAGGCAGTGGAAGATAGCTGCGTGGATCTGGAGGAAGATGAGAGCTGTGTGGATCTGGAGGAAGAATACAAGTGGAGCCTGGTTGCTTTTACACCCTAGAGGAAATGAAGGCAGCTCACAAGATTAAGGTGAGGCGATTTACGGTGCTTCTTGATTGTGCCTTTCAGCTTTGAGAACGGGAATGAAGGCCATGCCAAATTGTTC